TTTTGTTTTATTTGCCGTAGGGTCGTAAAATTTTAGTATGTTCTTCGAGATCATACTGTCTATCTACATTTCACCAAAAAAAATTCAGCAGTTAATAGAAAAGAAACGGCTCGGCCGACCTTTGTGCAAAACTAATCAGCACGATTTCCAAATAATAGGTTCAATAATATTATGAAAACAGGGTGGAGTTTATAATTAAAAAAGCCACATTGTTATTTATATAATATTTTTATGCTGATATATACATATATATATATATATAGATATATATATATATATATATATATATTTATTTATATGTATATTATATATACTATATAGATATATATATATCTATCTATCCTTAAATATCTATAATATACTCTCTATTCTTTTTATACTATCATATATAATATTATATCTATCTCTCCTACAAATTATCACTTTTTTTTATTTTTTTTATCATATCTTCTACTCCAGCTCTCAAGGTTCTATCTAGTAAGGACTTTGATAAAGTTATCTTCGTACATGTCATTTTCGTATATGTTTTTATTTATTATCATATAACAATATTCTGATATCGTATCATGTGGAAGTAGATTGTCTATTATATTTCTATCCTGTCGAACGCAACATTGCATTATCAGTAGTTTAGTCATATGAATGAATGATTCAGTATTCAAGTGAAACATCTACGTGCAGCGATATCGTTGTTGTGAATATATGTGCTCGAATATTTCAATAATACCAAACTTCACACAAAAGTTCAACCAACATATTTTGCGAATCTATTGAAAAGACTTTATAAAAATGTTGATCTCACAGAAAAACGAGATAATTTTTTTATTATAAATGTAAAGAATGTGCTGAATGTTATCATTTTTATTTGTTCAATATTTAAGTTTGATTTCAGATATTAAATATAATTTTTTTTATACTTTATTATCAATTATAGTAAAATCTAGTAACGTTTTCCAGTCTTTTTTCATATAAGTACGTGAAATCTTCTTAGGTTGGACAAAAGTTCAACTAGAATGAATAAAGAAACTGAAGTTTTTTGAACTGAATTCTATAAATGGGCAAAAAATTGTACCTAGTGAATGTAAATTTGAAACAAAAATTACCTACTAGTTTGAAAATATTTTAAAAATTATCTAAATACAAAAGACCTAACTTTAATTGCTCGTCTTGATCTGAAGAGTGTTAAGTACTGAAAGTAAGTTATAAGATAACATGAATAATTGTAAAATCTTCCTTTCTATATTAATTTTGTTAAAGATTACCAAGATGAATTGCAACCTTCATTCAAATCAACTTTGTAACTTGAGCAACGTATGTGACATCGCTTAAATGGGTACATTTAATTACATAGAACAATTTTTACAAATAAAATGTATTATTAATATGTAGATGATAAACAAGCAAACCTGAAACTATTGCATGCCATTGCAATAATTTTCAAAAGTAGTAATAGTTTCATTAAAATTATTAAAAAAATAATGAATAAAAATAATTTCATTAAAATTATTGTAATCTATAACATTCTAATAAATGTAGAAAATATTCACTAAAGTAATCGAAATATGCAAAACCAACTATGACAAAAGATTATACATGCTTGAGAGTCCATGTACGCCTTAAGAAATTGTGAATTGCATTAAGAATTTTTTTCTTTCGATAAATGACAAACTTCAATTTCTGATTTTGAGGATATGAAATTCAGAACTAAAACAAATAAGCCTTTACTAAATAAAACCTAAGCGGGCCAATACTTAATAGCGTTTCACTTTACTGGAAATAAAAATATGTATTTTAGAAAAGGTAATGAAACCTCTTAAACAAAAATCAAACATTGGCGAAATTATTTAAAAATAACTATATATTTATAGTTATCAAATCCACAGATTTACGAAAACCTTTTTGGCCAGCATATTTCGATTGTTAAAATAATCTACCTCCAATTCGTCCATTTGCATATTAAATTGTATAATTTAAATTTTAGCTCCGATTGTTTATTTAATTTAATTCCAAAATGTAATGAGAGTTAATCATCAATTCATAAAGTATCATTTGAATTTTTAATAATGCTGATGAATTTTTTATATAAATCAACTATGTGTTTTAAACAAGTAAAGCTTTAATTATGCAAAAGTGTTTCACAGTGGCAGTAAATTCATTACAATATGATTCATTACAATGATTTACGTGATCGTTATACAACTAATTTAACTGTATTTTAACACATGTATTTTTCATCGAATATAGAAAAATAATAATATTAGTTTAGTTTTTCTGATTTATTTATCAAACCACCTCATTAGTTTTCATCCTTATTTATAAGGGAGGTAATACAATATGTGAACCTTTATCTTTTTAATCAAGATATTAATTACTAAATATGTATTAATAATATAACTAACAAATAATAAATATTTATCAATAATATAATAAATTTATATTCATAATATGATAATTGAATACTCAGGGTGTCCCAGAACTCAATGTCAAGCTGAAACGGGAATTTATGCCATTGCAGTTTGGAAATTGAAAGCTTTTAAGTATAACCTAGAGATTTGGTTAAACTATGGCCATTTTTCGATTATAGTGGTAAATTTTTATCATTTTTGGTGGTTTAAACTTCGGAATCATAACTGTAAGTAACATTTCAAGTAATGTCACTTCAAGCTTATTTAAAACTAATGACTATAGCAGTAATTCAAAGAAAACGTAGCAAAGTGCCTTGACAAGTTCTATTTAAGATTGCGCATTTAATCAAAATTGCAAAATAGTACAATATCTGTGAGTTTCATAATAAAAAAATGAGTAAAAAAATAAAATTCAAAAAATAATCTTGTATTTGCTACCGCGTAAACTCAAATAGGGCGGGGCACCAGGGTTCAGTTTGACATTAAGCAATTAATTGTGAAAACAAAACCAATTATATCACAACAAATAACACATATCGAACAAACAAATATTTGACTATGTTCAGTAAAAACTTCCAGCTATTTCATCATTGTATAAATGTGTTTTTTCTCTGTTTTTCAAAATTTGTCATCTGGTCCTTTTTACACTATAGGCGGGGTAAAATGGGGCGGCCAAGGCGCAAACGGGTCCTATGCCTTATTTTAAAGGGACTTTACGAAGTAATAGCTACATTATTCTGCCAATGCAAAATATACATTTCATGGGTACATTTTTTACAGAGACAATACTGTATATAACCTTGATCTGGTATTTTATCAAAAATATTCATTAGCAGAGTTGGAATATTTATTCAATTTATCTCTTGTAAAATTGCCTTTTTTAACTTGCTTTAGTTTTTTATTTACTGGTTATTTTTTATTGTTTACACCTTTGCCAGGGTAAAGTTTTAGTTGATCTTTTTTACCACACGTACGTATAAGATTTTATAGAGGTTATATGAAAATAACTGTTGAAACTATCTTAAAAATAACAAAACATCTTATAAAACAATTGAACATAATGTAACTAAACAACAGGGCTCACAACCAAAAAAATAACAACGAAAGAAAATTGTTTTGTTATAGGTTTTCTATTAAATGCATGATAAAATTGAGATTGTAGTGCCGAAAAGGCAATGGTATATATATATATATATATATATATATATATATATATATATATATATATCATCTATATATATAAAAATAAGTCGGGTTTTCCTTCCTGACAAAATAACTCCAGAACGCACGAATCGATTTTGACAATTTTGCATTCGTTGGAAAGGTCTCGGGCTCCGCAAGGTTTATAGCTAAGAAAATTAGTGGTGCATGGCATCGTGCTTTAATGCAAATTGCTGGAACTTCACTCACCGTAATTAAAAATGAGTCGAGTAATGACATTAGTGAGAATTATCAGAATTATGCTTGGTTAAGTCAACGAGCAATTCTTGCCGCAAAAATAATGATGTACACGCACTGAATTTCACCTTTAATCAAAATTTCTGGCGATTTGGTGACATACCAATGATTCCGACTGGTCTTCCGTTTGACTTCAACGATTGCCATTTCCACTTCGCCTTGCGTTCGCAATAACAAGTCGCAAGGCCAATGCTTAGTGTTTGCGGGATAAATTTCAAATAGATTATTTAGAAAATCATTGTTTTTCACATGGGCAGTTATACGTTGCCTGTTCACGAGGTGGAAAACCATCCGCTTTGTTTGTGTTAACGTCAGGCCAAAAAACAAAAAATGTAGTTTACCAAAGAGCACTTCAATGAAACGGATAATTTGCGGAGTCACTTTCATTCACTTAGGGAAGTTTAACTAAAAAACACTTCATTCTTGTAATCGAAATAAATTCATTACTGTTGTGTAATAAAATCAATTTTTCCTTTTCAAATATAAAACAAACAAAAAATTTCTTCATCTTTCTTACGAAGCCACCTGGTGGCGAAACGGAGTTCGTCGGGTTTGCTAGTAAAATAATAAAAATATTTATACCGATTGCGATAAATGAAGAACGAAATCTATTTCCATCGCACGCAATTTATATAGTAAACAAAAATCGATCATATCGCATAGGCCTATTTATACTAGTTAGGCTGCAGTATCTGAGATCGTCGCGGCGCACTCGCTGCATCCGTCACGGAGCGGTGCCTCGCGGCTTCGTTCGCATTCCGTGAATGTTTTGAAGCCTCTGGTCTCTGCGCAGTACAGGAACGTCTGTACCGTACGCGTCTCGCTGTTGAATCTATTCTGTTTTCTTCAGATACAAGTAGTGATGGAAAATTTAAACCGATCATAATAAATTCGACCTAAAATACCGCCGTTGTTTATTCTGAGTAATCCTTCTTGTATACCGATATCTACCACAATGAGTCATTTGACCCGGAGAGAAATTTTTGGTTTAAGAGATTGTCGAGTCATATTTGTAGTCAGTAAGTTGCACATTCTTCTAAACACTGTTGCGTAAATTAGTTTAACGAAAATAGCTCAGAGTAATTTCAAGAAAATATCAAATTTTAGATAGAAAATAGCTTTTTATTGTTAGAAAAAATGGCAGAAATTGAAAGTCTTGGTAAGTACCTAGCTTATATTTTATTTTGAAGCAAACAGACAGTACAAGTTCTTAGAAGATATAAATAATATTGACGAAGAGTTTTCAGAAATTAGTGAAGATGATTTTTTTTGAAAATGAAGATATATTGGTTGAAAATAAAAATGAGTTTGATTCAACAGATACTGACGATGAAGAGGAAAATATTGTGAATTTATGTAGTGGCCGAAAAAGAATAAGATTCGAAAGAAAGTGAAGTAGAAATAAATGAACAAGATATTGCGAATGATGGATCTCTTTGGCAACAAATGCAAGTAGGTGACACACCTGGAAAAGCACCACTTCATAACATTTTCAAGCAAGAAGTAGGCCCAACAGTATATGCAAAACGTCATATAATGGAAGGTAAAGTTATTACTGCATTTTCATTGACAATTGATCACCGTATTATGAACCATATAAGAACATGCACAATAGAAGAAGCAAAGAGAGTGTTAGGTTCTGATTGGAGTTTATTTAAAAAAAAATTAGAATTTATTGCAATTTTATATGCTCGAGCTGCATATGGAGCAATTAATTTGAATATTTCCTTTTTGTGGAATCTTCCTGATTAGCCTCTCCAAGTTTTTTTCAATATCCTTGATTTAGCTGGCATAAATGCCTGGATTTTGTACAAGCAAACGACAGGAGAAAATATCTTGCGACAAGATTTTTTTACCAAGCTAGCAGAAGAACTTGGCACCGATTTTCGAGAAGTCCGTGAACAACCAAAACAAGAAACAAATACGAAAGTATCGTTGCCTAAGTCTACTACAGATGCTTATAAACGTATGAGATGTCAAATAGGATACTGTAAAAAAAATAAAACCGACAAATTTGCTCTAAATGTAAAAAATATGTTTGCGGAAAATGTACAATGGACGCAATTGTACGTAAAAAATGCGATTAACTGTAATTTTTTTTTTGTTTTTGCTTTTGTAATAGAAATACTCTACATACTATTTTGTTTAATTATAATAAATTTAATTTTTATTTTTATGTTCTTCCTAACATCCATATTTCATACATTCAAGCATGAAACATAGAGTCGGGTCATTTGACCCGCTATGGTAGAATTAGGTATATATCAAGTCTTGGTATGATTAGTGTTAATGATTTCGCAATATTTATAATTATGAAATATTTTTCGAATTTTTATTAAATTTAAATCATTTTAAAATATTTGGATATACGATAATGTATATCCAAATATTATATATAATAAATGAATACCAATGGTATGCCAATATAACTTATTAATGAATTACCCGCCGAAACTTATTAATGACCATACTTCCATATCGGCACATGGGTTGGTAAACCCATATTAGTAAAATCTCTATGTCTAAAAAATCTAGATGTTTCGATATGCATTTACAAATTAACACTTTGAAATGGCTGTATATCATTCATCGTACCTGCGAAGCAAAGTTTCTGTTAAAATGCACTGGCCTGCGCATTAAAAATACTAATTGAATATTTCGAACATTCCAAATTGGTTTAGCCTATTTATTATATAACATATAAATTTTTAAATGAAACACAATTTTTATGTCATACATATGACTGACATTGCCATGTACAGAATTTTTTGTTCATAATAGGCCAAACTTTCAAAGCATACTGCAAATGTATCGTTTATGTCTGACATGGTTTATACGGAATTTGTTAGCGTCTGACAAATATGGCGATTAAAGTGCTAAAAGCAATAATATCAAAAAACTTACGAGAATTAAGACTAGATCCTAAATGCCATTCCAATCATATATAAATTTGTGTGATATTTGAATTAATTATTGACATTCCAACCTCACTACAAGAGGTTAGGATTTCAGTACTGGCATTCCAGTAGTGAGAACATTTCTATACTATACAGGCAGTCCTCGTACTTACGGCATGTTAGGTTCTCGAAATACGCGACGTAAATCGAAACGACGTAAGTCGAGACATATTTTTTCATATGTTTACATGTAAAACTCAAGGGTTAGGTTCCACACGGACTCGAAATAATAAAAAAAACTGCATTTATAACAAGGACGTACTTTATTATAAAAGTAAGTTCTTAAAATAATTATATATTATGCACTTATGAAATTGCTAGTTATTTTTGGTATTGTGTGTTATTAATTTTAATAATAATTATAAAACTTATACATATGTAATGATAAATAATAAATTAAACTTTTGGCTTAAAGAAACTATCAATTCTAGATTGCTTGGCTTCTTTCTTCTTGCTATCATACAGATCTTGGTAACAGTGATAGGCTGCACAAATTTTGTTATTAACGTTAAAACTTCTCTCAAATTAGGATCATTTTCTTCAAAAAATTTTCATGGCATTCTTCAAATTTGCAAAGGCTACGGAAAGTTTTTTTAGTGTAAGTTCTTTTTCAGAGTCACTAATAGAAGAAGCTATTTCTTGTGACTCGAGTGCTTCCTTTTGTACTTGTGCCTCCAATTCAATAAGATCTTCATCAGTCAGTTCTTGCGAATGTGAGCTTAACAGATCATCAATATCATCAGTAGTAACTGCAATGTCAGGGAAACGGTTAGCCAAATGAACAATGTCAGTTGTGATCTCATCGACATTTGGTTGATCTGTAGTTGTAGAACTTTCAGATGGCTCAAAAAAAAAATGGGCATAACTTTTTCCACACTCCTTTTAAATTGTTGGGTGTCACCTCATTCCATGAAGTAGCAATATTTTTTACGCATTGCAGGATATTATAACTTTTCCAAAAATCTCTCAGCTCCATGCCATCATTTTCATTAGCCTTTACAGCCTGTGAAAAAGTTCTCCTGAGATAATAGGCCTTAAAAGACGCGATAACTCCTTGATCCATCGGCTGTAACAACGAAGTGGTGTTGGGAGGCAGGAACACGACTTTGATTTGAGGATCAATATCGGCAATACGCACAGGATGGCCGGGAGCATTGTCCAAAATAAGTAAAGCTTTATAAGCCAAATTATTGTTTGAACAGTACTGTTTCACTTCAGTTATAAAATGCTTAGTAAACCATTCTTCAAAAAGTATTGATGTAACCCATGCCTTTGGATTAGCCTTCCATATAACTGGAAGAGTACTCTTGACGTAATTTTTGAGAGCTCGAGGATTTTCAGACCTATAAACTAAAAGGGGTTTCAATTTAAGATCACCTTCAACATTCGAACCCAATAACAACGTCAAACGATCTTTAGCCGCTTTAAATCCAGGCATAGACTTTTCTTCCTGTGATATAAAAGTACGAGAGGGCATTTTTTTTCCAAACAAACCAGTTTCGTCCACGTTAAAAATTTGTTTAGGCGAATAGTCTCCACTTTCGATAATTTCCTTTAATATTCCAGGAAAACTCTGAGCAGCCACATGATCGGCACTAGCAGCTTCTCCTTGCACTCGAATGTTATGTAACGAATATCTCGTTTTAAAGCGCATGAACCATCCGCGACTGGCAGAAAAAACATTTTGATTCGTCACTATTATTCTCGCCACGTTTATTTTGCAGTGTGTTGATGATACTCAGCGCCTTATTTTGTATAATAGCCAAACTTAGAGGAACCCGTCGCTGAGTTTGATCTTGAATCCAATTGTACAACAGTTTTTCCATTTCATAAATTAAAGCATTCCTTTTGCGTATAATAGTGCTGTTTGAAGAGACGGAAGGAAGAGCTGTTAAGAGTTTTTTCTTTATCTTTCAATATTGTTTGTACCGTCGTGCGTGATAAATTAAGTTCTCGTCCAATAGATGAAGTCGAATAACCGCGATCTTTGAGTTTTAAAATCTTAGATTTAACCTCCATTGTAATTGACTTTCTTACTCTCTTCTTCACTTTATTATTACTGTCTTGTTTAGGTGGCATTGTTTAAAATTCACTTAAATATGTATGTAAACACAAAAACTGTCAAAGATGCAAAAAAACTAATTTATTACGTCTTGATTGTCCGTTGTCCCTGAATGTACTAAACAAAATCAGCGACATTTGCGGGGTATATTTCCCGCACGAGACGACACGGCGCCCCGCCCGCACCCCTCACGGACACAGACCATGCGACAAGTGAATTCTCCGATATGCCGCAAATCGAAACAAATGACGTATGCTTGAGGAATAGTGTCAAAACATTGTTTGACGTAACTTGAAACGACGTAAATCGAAACGACGTAAGTCGAGGACCGCCTGTACTGAAAAGAATATATCCTTCAATAACTTTTTTTCATATGTTAATCAGAACATAACGTTCTATATAATGTTGTTCTGAAACTTTTCCTTATTTTGTATTTTTAGATGGTGACACAACGGTTGATCCATCTATAATTGATTATTTTATTATTAGAATTTATCTAATAAATTATCTAAATGGCGCTGACTTACTTAAATTGGTGCAGCAATTCCCGAGAAGGGCTATTTTTACTTGGAAACACAATTAAGATCTATGTTTCCAAGTGAAAAACGATGCTACTGCTCGAATCCGCGATCCGCCTGATTGCAAACCTACGCGCTAACCACTCCGGCACGGGGTGACCATATAATTACATAAGAAGTACTCTTAAGATTAATATGCATACTGGCTTATGCATTGTTCTTCGTAAATTCATTCGGAGATAATAAATATTATAATATTTAATAGCTCAATCATTAACTTCCCGTAGGGCAAGTTATAGTAATCGCAAAAAAAATTGAAAATGAAAATTTTTGCATTTCTCGACGTTTCAAAGGTTTCTGAATATTTTGGCATACCTTAGAAAAAATGGATGTATGTGTGTGTGTGTGTGTGTGTGCGTGCGTGTGTGTGTGCGGATACAAATTTTCGTCGACGATTTCGGGAACAGCGATTTGAATAATTCAAAAAACATTCGATTTGTATTGATAAGGAGACGTCCTGATTAGTTTTTGGCGAAAGCAGGTCTAGCAGTACCGAAGATACGGGGCAAAGAGTGCCGTAAACGGTAACTCAGTTTTTGAGAGAATGGAGCGTCCGATTTTAATAATTCAAAAAACATTTTACTTGTATTGATAAGATGAATTGATCAAATTTTCATGAGGGCAGGTATAGCGGTTTCGGAGATCTAATGAAAAAAGTAAAAAAAATGCCATTTGGCGGTCAAAAATGATCATTAGACATATGCACATCAAATTATCAGATATTTTATAGAGATTTTTAACAATAAGTATAAATTTTGTTTACATTCCTATGGGTTCCGTACCAATGTTTATCCGTTAGACAGCGACGCGGCGCTTACGCGCTTTATATTTTGTCTCTATGCAGTTAAAGCAGTACGATTGCTTTGAAAAAAAGTTCAGATCTTCCAAAATATGTCAAAATAAAGAAAACATCTTTTTTCAAAAAAAAAATTAAAAAAAAAACATTTTTTTTTTTAATTTTTAAAAAAATTTTTTTTTTTCGAAAATGTAATTTTTTTTCCAATTTATAGTTTCTAAAAAATCTTGTTTTTTCGAAGTAAAATTTTTTCAAAAATGTTAATCGTTTTAAAAAAAAAAATTTTTGGTACGGGAAGTTCCAGCAATTTGCCTTAAGGCACGATGCCTTAATTGCCTTAAGACAGAATTCCACTTACAGCTAGTTTTAAAATTATTTTCTAATGTTACCTTAGAACACCATTCTGAAAGATGGTCCAGTTTGAAAACTCAACGAGCTAAGCCCTGCAATTTCTCAATTTTCTTGTATTTCATATGTTTTTGACTTTAAATAGCAAACTTTTGAATCGAATCTGTGAAACAAGTGGCTTCGTCATTTCATATACAATATTTTGCATCAGAACAAGTATCATCGACTGCATAGTTTTGACATCACTAAAGCCGCCCGTACTAGAGACCATCGGGCCTAGTACGAAACGAAGCCCTTTTCCCGCGCATAGTGGTACATCATCAAATACTACCGACGCACACAGGTATTCAAACATGCATCTGCGTATGTATACAAAATATTATATAAAGCACACATCAAAAAATAGTATGTATGTCGGGGGCCGACGCTCCCATAAAATGAGTATGCCCGCACTACTTGCGTCTCGCCCAGAAGGCAAACCAATGTTATCCATCCATCTCTCTCGCAGACATCGTTCTGTCTCGGTCTGAGCCCGACGACTCGTCGGGTATCGTGCCAGTTTCTTCGCACTCGCTGCGCTTGCGCTTCTACCTACTCTGCTCATACAAAGCTGCGGTCTCATACCATTGCATTTCCCGCGGTTTGTTTGGCTTCGGTTCACTCAGTATACGCGTAAACTTTGTGCAGAGAGCTTTTGCACATGTTTTTCTTTGCTCATTTTTATGTAAAAAACTATTTTTCATTAAACCGTGCACGTCGATGATTGAATGTCTGATTTTATAAACTTATGAATACAATCATTTAAGTGTCATTTGTTGCTGTGAGATAAAAGACTGTGTTTTGTATAAACTAAAGTGCATCTGAGTGAATTTGTGAACTGTTATGTTTATACGAGGCGTTTATACCATTGTTTGAGTTAAATTGTAAGTACAAACATACATCATGTTTATTATAATTTTATTATTATTAAGGTTTTACTTTTTGCTCTACCGATATTTGATTCATGTGTTATTTATTAAATATGTTTCAAACACAATCATGAAAATCACAGTAACAATTTTATATTACTCGTACAACAAGCGACCAATAAAGTAATTTCATTATCTAGAACATTTTTACTACCCATTGTATTTTACAATCGTAGTACTCTCGGTTTGTTTACGTTCGTATACGGGAGTACTACGAAAAGCAATCGATTGCGACCCTCTCTCATGAATGAGGAAACGTGCGAAGGTTTTGGTAGTATTAAAGTCGGAATTAAAATAAGAACAATCATTATTCGATATATGAATGAACAAAATCTCATTTTATAGTTATATATTTTATTATACTTTAATTCTGTAATTTTCCTGAATATAAACTGGAACTAGTTGAAAGTGGCATTTTGCCATAAACTTCTCGATGGATGTAATAATTGACTTTATTTAGAGATTTAGATATTTAGATAAAATTTTCAACTGTTTATTTCAAAAATAAATTTCGCTTACACTTAAATCTAAATATTGCGATTTCCAATTTATCTATAATGGTATTAATTATAGTGCACATGCACGTGCTTGTATGTCTTAAAACTTTAGCTTGTTGTTACAAATTTTGATCAATTTATATAATTAAGTGTTAGTTTCTATGAAAAACGTCGAAACATTTTTTTAAGAAACCTATTACCTAACCTAAACCTAATAAACTATTTTGGGAAATATTAAGCATTTGCTATAAGAAAATACTGGCACGATTACTTAAATATAAATTTAAAATAATGGTTTCATTTTTTACACAACTATAGAGAAGTTTTGCAGACTACTTACGATTTTGCCTAATGGCTTGGCCGATCTTCTCCAAATCTAATCGCGGCTCCTCCATATCTAGTTTAGTGGCTTTTAAGTTTGTGAAATTCAAAATTTGACTTATCACAACACAGATATGACTTTTGGGCTATCATTTTTTTTAAAAACTTTGATGAATTTTTAAAATTAAACAACTTATCGTACGGCCGTAAAATTTGAGTTTGTTCTATAAGACCATGATATCTATCGCCAAAAAAGTTTCATAAAAATTTTCAATTTTTTTTTTAACATTTAATTACTAAGAAACAGCTCGGCCGATCTTTAACAAATACTTGTCAGTATCATTCCCAAACAATATCTTTAGAACAGTTTTTGAATGTTTAAAATCGATTTATTTTTAAACGTGGCCAAAAATTTGTCTCACTTCACACACAAAAACTTTTTCCAAATTTGGTTACATTTGATTCAGAATGGCTTGAAACATCTAGAAAAAATAAAATTAGAAAATTGAGAAGTTAAAAAAAGAACAATCATTAATCGAGCTTGCTTGATATGAATGAACAGAACAAATTCCAATTTATTTTTAGTATTATTAGATCACTGCAAATGTTATTTTTAAATGTTTGTTTGCTATTTCTAAAAATAGTCCTATATTTTTCCTGAACATAAATTAGAAAAAATCTTCTCAACGTGTTATTATTGTAAATAAATAACAACATAAACATGATCTGGTAATTCCGATGGCCTTAACAAAAATTGGGAAGCGTTCGGGACATTTTTTATAACAATAAAAAAATAATAATTTATTGTGTGCAACATTGTTATGCATTGTTTTTAAATTTTATTATGTAAACACATTTAAATATTTGTTTACTTCTACTGTCAATACTAATAGATAGTGAATGATAAGATAATTACCACACATTTTATAAACAATGATATTACAGTATGTGCGTGTATTTATCAATGATAGAAAAACCAAACACAATTTATGCTTATTATTATTTATTGTTATTTGTGTCATTCATGCATTAGAGACTTTGTACCAGTCAAGGAAACAGTACTACGCCTTCCTATCTGTGAACC